CGGAAGCGGACGCCGACGGGGGCGTGGTCTGCGCTGGGAGGTAGAGGGCGGGGTGTGGCTGCGAAATGAGGGAGGCCAGCATCCCAACTGGCGGCGGCGAACACGACCCCGTCCGCATTTTATCCCATTTGTACACTGGAGCCACTTAGATCTCGTGCCCTCCCGCCATTTCTGGACTAAGTCTTGTGAAACTCCTGCGGTGTGATTTGCTTCTCGAAGAGGCCGGAAGGGCAGCTGCCCGCCCAGTCGTAGCCAAGAGCCTGGGCTGTGGGGTCGCCCAACCCTGGGGACCTTGAGCAACTGATTTAGCTGTACCCAGCCTCCGTTTCCTCATCTGTAAAATGGAGCTAGTCGTTTCGCACTTGTCAATGCCCAGGGGAGCTCGAAGCTCGGGCAGGAAGGATTTGGGGAGCTCTAGACCAGAAGGGAGAGGAGACAGGAGCAGAGGCCGGAGGTCGGGGTCCTAGCGAGGGCAGGGTCCGGGCGGTGCGAGTGGAGAGCAGAGAAGGCCTGGATCTGGGAAGAGCTAAAGAGGCAGGTGGTCCGGTGCTGAGGTGGAGGAAGAAAGCGGGATTTAAAACTTAACCTGTGGGGGTCGGGTGCCCCTTTCTGTCTGGGACAAAACGCCCTTGGGTCTCCCCTGACCCCTATCTGCACTCAAGCATATGGGTGTATGAGCCCGCCCCCAAGCTCTACCTCTCCAGTCTGGGCCTCTGCCAGCCCAGAACCCTCCCAGTCCAGATACCAAGCCTCCGCTTCCTGCTCCGCACCCCCAGCCCTGCACACAGCATACTTCAGAGCTCTGCATGTCAGACCAGATGTTTATTTTGAGTCCAGGTGGGAGGAGTGAGGGGGCGGGGTGCAGGGATCGTGGTCCCGTGGGGTCCAGACTGGTGAGTCTGCTCCGACATAAGTCTGGCGGGTGCGTCCCTGGACTCTGCTGGGGGCGCGCCATCCCTTGAAGGGGCGACCCAGGCCACCCTAGGGAGAGGACACCAGGAAAGCTACCTCCCTCTCAGCTGATGATGGCTTCCCTCATTAGTCTGTGTGAGGGGGTGAGGATGCTAGGTCTGAATCATGGTGCCGTCAGACACAGAGCCCGCAGGCTACCACGGGTGACCCACTGCCTGAGTTTGAATCCCAGCTCCACCAAATTTTGTGACCTTTGATAAATTACTTAACTTCAGAGAGTGCCTCATTTTTCTCTTCTCTAAAATGGGGATTTTAATAGTATCTACCAAAAGGTTTTTATGAGGATTAAATTAGTAAACATTTAGAAGGCTGCCTGGCACAGAGAAAGCGCTATGAAGTCATTATCATCACCTCCCTCCTCCAGCTCTCCTATGGGCCCTATGTTACACACACACACACACACACACACACACACACACACACACTTACCTGCCTCACTGGGGTCTTCAGGGCTGCGGATCGCTAGGCGAGGCTCTCGGGGGTGGGCTGGGAGGTGGGGGCACTGGAAGTGAGAGGCAGGCTCCGGAGCAGTAGGGGTTGCTGAACGCTGGCCCGGTGCAGGGGCGCCCCCTGGGGGCTGCTACGGGCATAACGGGGGCAGGTCTAAGGATGGTCAGACTCCGCAAGCTGGGAACGCAGTGACCCCGACCCCAAGGCACTGGAATATTCTGGGGGCGAAGCGAAGATCTGAGCGGGCCAAGCTTGGTACCTGAATGCGCGCACACGAGGCCGAGCCCGCCGGGGCCGGCGCAGGAGGCTCAGGGCGTACGGCTATGCCGGGGACGCCCTTAGGTGGCCCTGTGGGGAGCACAACGCGGAGACTAGGCCCAGGCCCCAGAAGTCCTCCCACCCCAATTTTCCTGCCCCAGGGACCCCCCGCAGAGGACTTTCGCGCTCACTGTGGGGCGTCCGTGGCACCGTGACCACGATGGGCTGCGTCAGTGTGTGCAGGTGGGGGCCGTTGGCACCCAGACTCTCGCCGCTGCCACTGCTGGCGCACGCCTC